TCATGTAAACAAGGAAAATATGTTTAGGGTGAGTAAAAGGGACAGTCAAATGAAATGATGATGAAACCATGCAAGGAATTTCGTGAGAAGAATGAGATGATTTTAACTACTCTGGCTCTTGCATAAATGTGACAGAGACGGCAAACTGTTGACAAAAATCTGGGTCTTCTTATTCCTGAGTGTGTAATAAAAATATATTTCAAAGTCTCTAAATCATTGGGTATGGCCATTCTGTCTGAATTCTAACCACTAGAATGTGATAGGAAGTAATGTGTATCTGACCATAAAACCCCCCATGTGCTCATTCAAGCTCCTTTCCACTTCCAGCTGACCAGGATGGAAGCAACACTCACAACAACTTTAGTAGCCGCAGATTGAAGATGGCAGAGTCAAGGTTCTTCTTGAGACCTGAATGACCGCATGGAACAGTCCCCTTACTTTTACAATGAAAAGACTCTTAATAAGCCAGGGAGGATACACTTATGGTTTGGACATGAGTGGGAACTATGAATGTGGAAAGATGTGATAAGACTCTAAGTATATTTTGAAAATAGAGACAGGAGGATTTGCTGATGAATCACCTTCAAGAATGCCAGCTAGAAATTTTGAAAATTTCTCTAATCCTTCTATATTTTTGTAAAACTAGATGATAGAATAGACTTTTGCTGACTCATTGTTTTTGCCTGAAAATAGAATCCACAGAATTCCACTGTAAGTGCAAAACAGACCTCCTTCTTATGCAGAATTTTCAGAGGAAGCAGAAGAAATCCCATTCTATGATTCTTAGACTTTATAGAAAATTAAAAATAAAAAGAAGTATAAGGGATTGACTTTGATTAGGAGGATATCTTTGGAGAAAATTGTGTGATGCAGCTTCTTCCAAATCCAAGGTGGAAAAAGAAGAACGTGATTCATCCCAGTCTTATTGAGCTTTCTATGGTACCTGCCAGATTTGAAATATTTTCCCTGCAATGGAGCCTGATTCATATCTGAAGAAACTAGAACCTATGTGGCAAGAGAATAGAGGTTGCACATTGAAACATGCGTGCTCTCACAGAGTTTATTGCTAAGAATTTCCACCAGACAGATGTGATTCACACAGGGAAGGAGCACAAGCTTTTCTTGGGCTCTGTTTAGCTGACTGCCTAGAGGAGAGAGACAGACTCTCAGCAGAAAGATGGTAGGGGTATAGTACAAGATGCACAAAAAATGTGCCACGTTAATGGACTCTTGGGAAACTCCCATCACCAAAGACTTCTTCTTGATCTACATGGATGTACATATCTTCCAGATAGAGAAGCTTCCAAAGGGTCCATTAATATGCTACATAAGAAACAGAAAAACTTTATACAGAGAAGATCCCTATAGCCTATTCCAAACCAGTATGGTCAGAACCTCACTATCAGGCCAGGGGTAGGTGAGGTGGAGAGGAGAGGAGAGAGAGAATTGACAGACAATGATGAAGAAACCCACCATGCTCCATCTCCCTTTGGTACTGCAGCCCAAGTAGACCAGCCCAGCCAAAAGTAGACCCAAGTTAAGAAGGGGAGAAAATTTTGCATTTTAAATCATGTTTAAAGTTGTATTTTGGATCATACATCATAAATACACTAAACTAAATGTATGTTGTGATTTGACATATTTAAAGGCCACAGCACACTAAAATACAGTAATGCCTTAACCATATTACAAGGCATGCATGTTCAAAACAATGTTTTAATTCATGACAGAAGAGAAATGTTAGGTGTTTCTGCAGACAGTGAATCACAAAACAGAGACTTTTAAATAGAAATGACATTTCATCTAACAAGAGTTTAGAAGTACTGAGCTCAGGACATACAACATGTAGCTGGGAAATCAACATAATATTCCTTTTAGATGTACTAGGCAATTGCTTTTCTCCTAACTTAGGAGAACTGTGGCATAGTCACTGCAATTTCTTAAAGAATCATAAGAAAAAGTGCTGTGCTATATTTATACATGTTTTACCAAAGTCGTAGACCACATGAGATTTGTATTCAGTTTTGTGCTTATTATCTACATATAGCATTATCTACATTATTATTTTAACATGTTCTCTATTTTTTAAAAAATCAAGAATTCAGAAATATTTTTTGAGCTTTATTCTTATTGCTACTCTATAGTCATACTCTGTGCCCAGACATTCTTAAATGGGGATGGGAATTCCATGTACATATACCTTCGTGCTTACTCAGAAACCCGGTCTTAGGATCCTGATTTAATTACAAAAAAAGAATGGGAGAAAAAACCTGAGTTCTATTTCTACTGTATCCTTGATACAGTTAATCTAAGACTTTGCAGAGGTCTATAGATTCAGAAGACTTGAAAATAATATCTTTGATATAATAAAAAGTAAAGTGTTTCCCTTAACTGAATTTCTTGACTTCTGTGAACCAAAATCAGATGCCTCATATTGTTGAAGTTTTTCTCTCCTCAGTTTAATCTAGAACTTTTTAACCAAGGCTATTTTTATATTCAGTAAGATTATATACAAACTTCATTTTTATGAATTATATGAATGCTACTGCTGAGAAGTCCCACTGGCAATATAATATGATTATGCAAATGTACACTCCAGACAAATTAAAGGCATAAAAAGAAATCATAGATTGGAGAAATACATTTTTATGGCTTTATTTATTTCAGGTCTTTCGTGTCAAAGTTGGAAAGTTCCTTTTGCAATGACACAGATAAAAACTGCCAGGTAAGGTAGAGAGGTACAAGTCATTCTCTGAGCACATATTTGTTGTTCATTGAGTTAGCCCTTTACAGAGGGTGCTTGAGCATTTTGAAAATTAAATTCAATGCATCATTTTTCTCTAATGAGTTTCTGTTTTTGATAAAATAGTGGAATAAAGGATTCTATATTGAATCTATGACAGTTAAAGATAGATATTACAATACTTCAATCTTACAATCATTATAGCAAGATTTGGTAGTTATTTCATTCCTACTTGGGAAAGCAACTATTTAAAAAAGCAAACAAACAAAAATAGAAATAAAACAAACAATGGTGCTTATACCACTTTTCTGTTTCTTTTTTTTTTTTTAATTTGGGATTGAGAGAGAACAGAATCTTGTTGCTCACTGAGACAAGGCTTAAAAAAAACCACATTTCTTCAAGGTTGATATTTAAGATAGGAAAGTTGGATACTTCCATTGTGAATCCTATCTTTTAAATTTTTTCCATATATTATTCTTTTGTACTTTTATTTTCCTTAAAGAATTATAAACTCATTTGAGGGTAGGGATTTCATCATTGGTCTTTTTAGTTATGCTCATGCATTCCTTACATTTGCTGAGTCCTTAGCATATGGTAGTTGTCCAGTAGAAGCTCGTTAAACAATTAAAGAAAGAGCACATTTCATTGATTTTGAAATCTAACTTTATTTCCACATATTAACAATTCTGAGATCAGAATGCATCTTAAATTTGATAGCCTGTCACAGATGCTATTAGCTAGGCACAGCACCAATGACCTGACTTGGCAGAAAATCTCAGACAATATTTCTCTATAATTCTGAATTATTAATGTTTTTAATGATACAAGGACAATATTGTATAGTAAAGTATAGTCATCAAAGACTCTGGAAAGAAAACTAATTTAGAAGTTGGGTTCTGAGTATGAAGTATTAGGACTAATTTAATCAATTTATTTTGTATTTATTTTCCTTTTTATGTATGCTTTGTGTGACATATGGTTTAATAGAAAAAACCTAAGTATAGACAAATTTGAAAGAGCTTTTCAATAAGTTGTGTCATAAGAAAACTGCGATAATTTAATGGCAGTATATTTTATTTCATAGTAATACAAAAAACAGCAGTACGCCTTACAATTATTACACATTGTGTAGCCTACAATTTTGTGGTAGATAGTGCACTATCCATAACATCTTTATTTACACTATAATGCCTTGCAGTCTTTTGAACAGAGTATCTTTTTTTGGTCAAGTAACCTATTTCTTGTAATTTGGATAATATCAGATTATGAAATTGCCACAATCTGTATTCACGAAATCACAATATACTCAATATACTCAATTATGTATTGCTTCCATCATCATCCACTGTCATGAGTAATTTTCATTTGTGTGTTCGAGGGTTCTCTTTGGAAGTGAGACATGAAGAAGTATATGATTTCTTTGTACATCCTCCTTGCATCTCCTCTGCACCCTCCAAGATGGAGGAACACGATCAGTGTGTAGCACCAGCATAACCACTGGCAGAAGCTACACTTAAACAGCGTTACTACTGCTGATGTAGTGACTCACATCTTACTTCAATTCCTTCAATAGGCATTGCCTTTTCTATCTCTGACTTTTCTAAATCTTTCCCCAACTTCAGTCTGTCAAAACTCTACTCAATTTATAAGCCCTAGTACAAATGGCATTAGATATTCCCTAATAACCTCAGCCAGAAGTTTCAAAGTTGTTTTTAAAAATTCTTTACTTTCTATTTATTTGTGTCAAATACCATATCCTATGACTATTGATATATTTTATTTTCTCTATCTGATGGTGGAATCCTTGAGACAGGGTAATGTGTTATAGATCTCTTTATAACATCACAACTTAAAGCACTGGTTATAATTAGAGTTCAATATATGTTCATCAAAATTAACTTGATACATTTACAAAATTTCTGAGCTAATATACAGTCTGTGTAACAATGTCTTATCCTCTATGCCACATTTTCCTTTTAGTCATTCTTTCTTACAAAGAACCATGCAAAAAGTATTCAATTGTATCACTAAGAATATGTTATGAAAACTATTCAATGCAAATATAAAGTACTGTTATTAAGATTTATATTTTTTTAAGTTTACTTATAGTTAGACACCATTATTATCTACAGGTAACTATCTCTGTATTTTGCAGATAGAGGCAACATTTGAGGAACTAATTTTATATCAACCATTATTTGTTTTTTGATAGCCTAACCCAGACATCTACATTGTAACATTCTCAAGAGAGACTTACCTCGCACAATGATGTTGGTGGACTTTTTGGCTGGGTTTCCCACATTATTATTGGCAATGCAACTGTAAGTACCAGCATCTTCTGAGGTGATGGCAGGTATGGTCAAAGTTCCTCCATTCAGAACAGTCTTTTCGGGCAAAATCCTGAAGGACCTGACCCAGGTGAGAGAAGGTGCAGGCTCCCCTCCTGTTGTCACACATACTAATGTGATGGCCTCTCCAGGATTCACAATTATAGGGTCATCCACCAAGAGTTTGATTGACGGAGATGCTAAAAGACATAAAGAACAACATATACCTATTTAGATATGCTATGCTCAGAATTCAACAGCATGCATTATATAACTCATCCATTCAAACAATTCAAATGAAAAACTGTTTTCTTTGGTCAAAATAATACTGTATGACTCAAATTTACACAAGAATCATTGGTTTCATATTTTAATTACACACTGTAAACTTATAGAAATGTCTTGACAAACTTACACATGGAGAGGAGAATTGATATTTTTTCCCCTGGATTATTGTTCTGAACTTGGATTAACGAGAGTGACTAAAGTTTTAAAAGTTTATTTATTTATCCATTTATTTGTATACTTACTGACTTTAGAGATTGAGTCTCACTTTGCCACCCAGGCTGGAGTGCAATGGCGTGATTATAGCTACCTTTAACCTGGAGATCCTGTACTCAAGTGATCCTTTTGCCTCAACCTCCCTAGTAGCTATGACTACAGGAACACGCCACTACTCCCAGCTAATTTATTTTATTTTACTTTTTGTTTAGGTGGGGTTTTGGCATACAGCCCATTCTGGTCTTGATCTCTTGGCCTCTAGTGATACTGCAGCTCTGGCTTCTCAAAGAACTGGGATTATAGGAATGAGTCACAATACCTGGCCTCCTTTCTCTTTTAATGCTGACAATTGTCTCTTGTTTTTATAATTTCCAGTATAGACATCACAGCTTTTTAGTTCTTGTATTTTTGTGGTGAAGATGATCAATTATTGAATTTTGGGTTTATTTTAAGTTAAAATAACAAATTTTTGAACCCTGAACACAACCAATGAGAGATAAAGGCATAGATCACCTATCTTTTACTATTCAATGAGCCTTAATTTTGTTCTTAAAAGAAATAACAAAATCATCTCATTCTAATGCAGTGCCCATCTTTCATCTCCAACCTCTTCAATTACAAAGGTAGAGGCAGTGAGTTCTCATAAACACTGACTAAAAACTTACAAAGAAAAAAAGACATGAAAGCTCAAGCACATGTACCAAACCATGCCTGCCACAACTCAAATGTTTGGGTTATAATAATTTCCTAGTGAAATTAGTCCTTTGCAATGTTTTTGGTTAAAAAGTAGAGTGATAAACATCCATTCAGTAGAAAATGCTGTGTTACAGCCTTTTCATCAAACACTCAAAACAGAAACTGCAAGAACTATATTCATATATAGCACTTTTTTTTCTGCTTACACCGCAGCGCTAGCCTAAATAATGCATCCCTAAATAAAAACAGGGAAATGAATTATACTGACATTTGCGTTCACACATTCAGAAATATTTTATGTCAAAGTTAGAGCTGTATTTTATGAAATCAATCCATATTAGACACATTTAAACTTTACAATTGAACTGCATGACTTTCTTAGATATTAACTTCAGTTTAGAGTTGAAGATTGTTTTTCTCAGAATAAAAGGTAGATCCCAAGGGGAAGGGAGGTGGGATTAATGGTAGCCAATATCTGTCTGGGGACGGGACGCGGGCACACCTCATCAACAAGGGTACCTGCACAATGCATATTTGAATACCTAACCCTTAATTGTACCCCACAATTTTAAAATAAAAAATATGTATTAAAATAAAAAAAAGGTAGACTCCTTGTGTGGTTCAATGTAGTCTACATTCTTTGAAAAATAAAAGCCAGAGGAAACAAGAAAGTGTTTCCATATTATGGTTCTAAGGGAAAGACATGAAGTATCTACTGGTACTTGTTGTATGCTAGCTCTTCTGACATCACTTTAAACAATATGGGAATTTCCAAAATGACATACTATCAGCCCTTCTGGAGTATTGATATTAAATTATAAAGAGTTTTAAAATTTATGATTAAAATATTATTTAATTACTCAAGTTTTTGTTTCTCATCAAAAACTTGTTGGGAAGTGCCTATCATGAAAGTAATGTGCAAAAAACCTTGCAGTTTGATGGGGAACAAAAGTATCTCAAAAAAGTCATTAATATTGTGAAACTGAGAGAAGATATTACTAATTAAATATTCTGGAAATAGATATTTTACTTAATTATGAATATGTCAGAATAAAAAGTATGGAAATTCCTTATAACCTGACGTAGGTAACGAGCATAATCTTACGAAATAATTTGGTTAAAATATTGTTAGAGAAGTTCCAATATTTATGTAATATTAACAAAACTTTTAGTCAATTAAAAAGGCCCAAGGCCTAAAGGCCATTAATAGCATGTTTGGACTATGGAAACACACAATCATGACATTAAGTCAAGGAACAGTTGCCCGTCAAATTGACTTATACAATATGATTTGTTTTATATTTTTTAAAGAAAAAAGCTCAAGAGAATTTCAAAGGTCCAAAAAAATGCATATATAACAAGATCACTGTTTTAACTACAATGCCTTGCAAAATTACATTGATAGCCTTATTTAAAAACGTACTCTTTTCCAAATTTGACTTGAAAACAGTGTTGCACAAGCTAATTTAATTAATGATGGTGCTTATTTTCTCTGATTGTGCCTGAAATTAAAAATAAAACAGACCACAAAATGGCTAACAATTTTAAGACTTTAAAAATATTCATATGTATATATTTATATCAAAAAATATAGCTTTAAGTCCCAAAAGAAAAAAAGTTGAAATAATTGTCATTTTTGTTCTAGTATCTTACTTTTGATTCCATAAATATTAGTTTAAACTATAAGCCTTTCTTAAGAACCAGAAACATGATGATTTATCATGTTTAAGTGTAAACCATGACCTAAAAAATATATAAATATTTTTGTTTATTAGAATATCTTAAAGAAAATATTTCATATTGGATGAATTATTTGCTAACCTTGGGGTAATGCAAAACAAGGTGGGTTAGTCACTCCCTTTTCTTTTTTTTTTCTCTTTTTTTTTTGAGTCAGAGTGTCACTCTGCCACCCACATTGGAATGCAGTGGCAAGCTCAGGGACACAGCATTCTTGACCTGCTAGGCTCAGGCATCCTTCTGCCTTAGACTTCCAAGTAGCTGGAACTGCAGGTGTGTGCCACCATGCCCAGCTAGTTATTTATTTATTTATTTTAGAGATAAGTTCTCGCCAAGTTGCACAAGCTGGTCTCGAACCCCTGGCTCAGACAATCTTCTTGCCTTCACCTTACAAAGTGCTGGTATTACAGGTGTGAGCCACTGTGCCCAGTCGCTTTCACTATTTAGAGGCTTCCACAACCCTCCTATTTTCCCCTTCGTATCACATTGTATAATATTAGCCAGGCTACTACCGTGGCTCTTCAGGAGGATGTAAAGTGTTGTGACTGAAATCTCTACAGGATGGGGTGATGGCTAAGTGGTAAGAGCACACATATCCGGAGCAAAACACCTGGGTTCAAAAATCTTGATTTTTGTCATTTAATAATTGTGAGAACTTGGGAATGTTCTTTCTCTTCCGAGTGCCTCAATTTCCCATTGTTGAAATAGAGAAATACAATGTAACTATATTATACAGTATTGAAAAGACATGACATGTATAATGACCTTACAAAAGTACCTAGCATAAAATATGCCCTGAATAAGTGCTTATTGTTGTCATTTTTATTAGCACCCTCACAGCCTGGTTGGGTGGTTAGAACTTAGTGAGTGCTTAATAAATATTTTGCTTTTTTAGTTTCCCCAGATGAAAAATGTCTTCAAAAGGAAACGTTTTGCTGACGTGGATGAGGTGAAGCAAGAAATGGCAGAAGCACTAAAAGCCATCAAAATTGATAAGTTCAAAAACTGTGCTGAGCAGTGAAAAAAAGCATCACAACAGGTATACTGCATTCAACAGAAAATACTTTGAAGGCAACTGAAGTCTAAACATATAAGAATAAATATACACTTTTTATAAATATATTCCATTTTGGAGGTGTCCTTCATATGTGTACAGTGTGTATTGGTTTATTATTCCATAACTATAACAGAATAAATATGGAAGGTCATAGAGATCACAAATTATCTTATTACCATGAGAAAAAGTACACTGTTCTAAAACAATTACAGAATCTAAATGTCCATTCATTCTTCACAAGAATATATAAAACAGATTATTGCTTTAAGCTAATTTTTAAGTTATACAAAAATCAAACACGAAGGCTGAAATGGGACAAGAGAAACACTTTATGAGATAGTTAAAACATTTATTTGAGATGTTCAGCAAACAAAAATGAAAAGTAGAAAAAGGTGAGATATATAAACAAAAGAATTCAGATTAAGTAAAGCATTTATATTAGAAAATCATAGATTATTTTAAACATGTTTTCTAGTTATTTTAAAAACATGGTTCAAATTACATAAAAGTCATTTCAACTACATGACCAGTTATAAATATGTTCTACAAATGCAGTGCTTAAAAATGACTATGGTGCCAGTCAGACTTTCAAATTGGTAATCTGTCAACACTTAACGATGGAAGGCACAGGTCACCACAACTGTTGTCACAGAGATTTGTCTCTCCTGTTCAAGATCAGCATGCCAATATTCTAGCATGTTAGATGGGTCCTCTTTTGGGAATATTTGGACAGGCAGATGGATGGATAGATAGATGATAGTCTGACAGACAAACAGAAGTTATTAATCCAGGGAGAGACATAATGAAGTCAAATGTAAAGAAAGTAAAAGAGGGAGAAAGAAAGAGGGCAAGAGAGGGGAGGGGAAGGCAAAAAGTCTATGCTTTCTATTTTCCAAAATCTAAGAGCTCACCAAAAATTGTAAACTCTTAATAGAACTTCAACAGCTGTAATATAGAGAGTATATTTTAGAAATATGCCTAAGAAAGGGAATTCTTTTTATGCCCTTTCAGCAAATTTTCCCCTGGCAAATAAGCAACAAAAGTTTTCTCAGACTAGGTAACAGACACTTCAGGGGGTTCAAGAAAGGGATGACTAGGCTTCTGACTACCACACCAAATCCCAAACATTTATTTGGATATTCAAGAGCAGAGAGGATCTGTGAGTCCCTACTTGCTTGAGGTCACTGAATATGACTAGCCAAACAGATA